TTGGACTAATTGTTTCCATGCATCTTTGGTTTTCTTCATTCTTCTTTGCTCTGGATAAGGAGAGACCCACTGTTGTATCTTACTTAGATGGCTGCTGACTGCTTGTAAACTTTTAAAACCCCAGTCACCACTCACCAAAGTAGGATGTAGAACAATGTTTTTTTGTGTAGTATGTTATGCCAGTTGAGCTTGATGTCCCCTGCGACCATGGTTCCGAGCCCATAGGTCCAACTACTCGCTAGCAAATATTTCTGAAGGACCGAATTACCCACTAACCCCTGATTTCAGACCAAGTTCAGAGATAGCAACAGCATGGCATATTTGCATCTCTGATCCTATGAACAACAGTCACTGCAATTTACTACATGGGGTTAAGTTAAGGAACTTTGCACAGAGGAGACTTCCCATGAACCAGCAAAGTGAGTAGGAATGATGAAGACAAATCACTTGTCTCAATTCAGCAGGTCTCAGCAAACCTAGGATCTTTGAAATGGTGCAGATACCAAGGTTGACACAAAGGCTCACCTCCAAGACAACCCCAAAGGATCTCACCTCCTCCCATTCCTTATACTCTGCTCCATTCTGGGTGGCAAAAATGGTGACACTCTGGACTACAACCAAAACGTTGATGGTTGAAACCTACCCGACAAGCCTCAGAAGATAGGCCTAGCACTCTGCTTCCAAAAGGACAGAGCCTATGGAAAACACTTCTACTCTGTACATGTTGGGTGGCCAGTAGTCAGAATCGAGTCCGGGGCAAGTAGTAACCACCAGGACCTCCGTTCATAGGAACTAAGGTTCTTGCTTTGCATTTTATTCTCCTTACAGGGATCCTTGTCCTTTTTGGTCTTCCATCTCTATAGTCACTTATTGAATCTGTGAAATGACACATGGAAGTGTTTCTGGGGGACAATTAATTCTGTTCTGTGAACTGCCTTCCAATAGCTCATTCATATCAATGACAAATCACTTTTGATTATTTCATGGGATCATTCATTCACTTTCCAAACCAATACAACTAGTTATATTTCTGTGCATTGAGACAAAATAACACAAAGCAGTGCCTTCTGGTGTTATTGTCTGGGATTATTGAAATGATGGCAATTCCTCTCAGTATATTTTTCAGCCACAAAAAGAGCTAGAACGGTTTGCTAATTATCTGTGCTGTCCAGTTTGGTAGCACTGGTCACACATACTAAGCACATGAAATGGGGGTAGTGCAACTAAGGAACTGATTTTTTGTTTTTTATTTTAAAAATTAAAATAGTCAAAAATTATTACTATCAAATTATTGATAATCACCTTGGGTTCAAAAATGCAGAAAAACTATCATGGAATTTAAAATAACTTGAGGGAGTCATTAAAAAAAGACCAGGCTTACTGGTCTAAGACATACTAAT